TGGATTTATGCAGTATGTTCAAAAATAACTGTTGCCTCTATTTAAATATAGATACTACATTCACTTATTGATGTTCCTATCAATAAAGACCTCATATTGCAAAACATATGACACACTAATTCAAGAATTTGTTTTCTTTCTGACGGCCTGTTCAGTAGCCTGTTGCTTCCTCGAGTGCCTCTAGGGAGCTGAGTTTGGGTTTCAACATTTTAAAAAGCACATTCTGAAGATGAACAAAAAGCAGTATAAAAAAAGTGAAATTGGCTTTTCTGGGAGCATGCACACTATTTTGTTTTAAGATGATTTTGCCAATACTAGCAGCACTGCTCAAGAGTTTTCTTTGGATCTCTATGAGACTATCCATTTTATCCTTCAGTATTGGTCTAGAGGGTGGAATAAGCTTGAGATTTAGATTGAAATCTTAAATATGTATGCAAATGTTCACACCTTTCAGTAGTATTGCAGTATTCTTCCATTAACTAAAAAATATTCTTTTTTATCTAAATGTTGTAAATATTAAATCAGTCTTGTTTCATCATGGACACAAAAAAAGGGATTGCAAAACTTGGCATAGAATTTTTTTTAAATGCATGAGACAAAATAACAGTACACACTATCTAATGACTTATTAATAGATACTGATTTCCTTGTTACCAGCAGTTTCAACTGAAAGCCAATTATGGACAGTTATAGTTAGCGGGTAGGTCTGAGCCCCTGCAGTCCCCAAACTGAACCTTTGTCCCGTTTCAGTGACATAGATTGTAGTTTGATGTGGCTATTCATATTTTTACATTTCAACGGGGTTTAGTGTCTTCCACAGAGTCTGATGTCTGAACACCATAGTACAAAAATGCTTCTTACACCAGCATTAAACTGTGGAAGGATCTGAATTTGTACACATCAGCAACTTTATCCTGTAAATGCATGTTAACTAGCAGTGATTACTGCTTGTGCTATACCACTCTTCCTCAGTTTTTTTCTTCTTCTGAACTGAGTATTTATTTTGTAATGAAATTAGGTAAGGTACCATTGCATTCTTCTGCGGATGTACTCTCAATGCATTGGTTTTGCCATTATGCTACAGATCGAAATTTAGCAGCAGACTGATGTTCCACTACTGGCTGTCAGTGGAAGAAGGTCTTTGTTACCTCTTCCCAACACTATCACGCTCATTGTTTGCTCAGTATAACTCTGGGAACTACTATGTGAATTCCAGAATTATTTTCCAGGCATCTTGTTACATTATTGGTGTCACTCATTCTAAAGAGTTTTTAGTTGCTTACTCCTCTGTAGCTGGTCAATGGTGGCATTCCAATGTCTTTCACTAAGACCCTAGACCATGGCAATTTAAATAACTTTTCCAAAATAGTATTTGAGTGCATTTAAAGTTTTACTTCGACTTCCTGATGTAAAGTCCTGCTCATTGTGCTCCCTTCCTTTCAGTGTGTTGACAGAGAGAGACATTTCTCTTCCAAATCTTTGGACTTTTATCTCTGAAAAATCTAATGTTTGTAATTGTCTTAACAAGTGTCAGATCCTCAAAGCATGTCCTGTTGGAAAGAAAGAGAATAATAAATAGGCTTATAAATGATTTGCTAGGACATCAACCTCATTTCTTACAAGGAAGAAAGTGTGTGTATTAGAGCAGACCCCAGTATAAAATTCTTTTGCAGACAGATTCAAACTCTTTTAGTTACGACATAAATGCATGTTTCAAAAGATGGAAAGGAACAGATGAGAGCTAAGAACAAACCTTGAAGAATGAATCTGCAACCTTCATCCCTTCCATTGATTTGCTTGCTTTTTCATTCATACATATTGAACACTTTTCCCACTTCAAAGTAATGCAACTGTCCCTAACTTATGCCAATAAATATTTTACACTGGGTGGTTACTGCATAGATGCAGCATGTGAAATTAAGATTCTTAAAGAAACATTAATCCAATTACTTTTTCCTCGTGCAGGTCTTATATTATGAAGACTTTACAATACCTATGATAGTATATTAGACAGGATATTTAAATAAGAATATGAAATGAAAAATACTTAAAAATAACAAGAAAACATTAACATTGGCACTTGCTTTTGTTTTAATTGTACAACCTAAAAGTGGTATTAACACATGATTATGCATTTAATTTTCTAGTTCGATTAAAAACAATTGCATGTGCTTATTCATAGTTTAAGTGGTTCCAATTGGCTCTTGAAGTCTTTCACTTCAGTGAAGCAAATGGGATGTGGTAGACTTGAGTTCCAATCTTCATTGCTCATTTCACTTTGACCGATGAGTTTTCTGAAAGCCTGGGTTAACAAGGCTCATAGATATTAGTTTACAAAGTAAGGCTATATCATTTTTTAAATTATCCTTTTAGAATTGGTAGCCTGTTGATATTACACAGTGTTAGCATTATTGAAACAGCCTCTAGAACTGTAAGGCTTAATTTATTAGCCTTCATTCAAAATACTTGAGAAATTAATTAGTGAATGCTGTTCTGAAAGGATTTTAGATATCATTCAGCTCTACTAAAACTGAAACAGATTCCAGCTTCCAAGACTTTCTTTTTTCAGTTGCTTGTAACTTTTCTTTTTAATGATCCCAGCAGTCAAGGGGGGATGCAGAGGAGATAGGATCTTGCCAAATTTCTTTGGGCTATTTTAAATGTAATTTTGTTCAAAACATGTTTGGAATTGCATTACAAATTAAAATATTTTTTTAAAAGGCATAGTATCTGCACTAATACAATTTAAGCATCAAAGTTACTCTCTTACTACGTAGCAATCACTCCCAGCAGTTGGTGAAAAAGATAACCTGAAGAGTTTCTTTCCTCTCTGTTCTTGCTATTCACTGTTAAACTGGTTGAGACCTTTTGCTAACTCAGCGGACAATACCAGCATTTTCAAAGACATTGTGGGAATGTCATCCACATTCACAACAATGTGAATAGCTTCAGAGTCTGACCTGTTGTGTGCGCAGGGTAATGTGTCACTCTTGAAGCATCACTACCTTAGTGAGGTAGCTTGGTAGGAGTTATAATGGCCAATGATGCTACAAAATTTACAATGGCAAATGAAGAATATTGTACATGATAGAAACAGGAGGGTTATTTAGATAGGCATAATATACTGTAGTTACTGAAATATAAATGACTGTGAAAGAAAGAGCCAGATTTTTCTCAAGCTGTGTGTGTTATATACCATACGTTGTATTTAAAGGAGACAGAATCGTGGTAAACAATCATAGGCAGCTTGCTGCAAAAAATGAGGATATAGGGGAGACAGGGAGCCAGTGAAATGACCAGGTAGTCTTTCTGACTTACAGAATAGGGAATGTGGCAGGAGGGAAGGAAGCTGCCCCACACCATTGGATTTATTTGCTGTTGTTTTGGTCAGTTAGGAATACTGGCAGTTGGCAGAAGCTAAACCAGCCTTTACCCCTACAGGCTAACACTGCTTTAGTCATCTTTGCTCTTATCCAGAATTCCTTTGGTTTTCAAAGCAATTAATAATCAAGGCCCAGAAGTAAACGTGCATTTTTTTACAAAACGATCCTATCTGAAAAGTGATGCATTCACAAACACAATGTTTCTGGTCTCTGCATGGATCGTGAGCTCGCTCCCATCTCAGAGGAACAGGACCATAATTTCCTGGCTTGCTAAATCCATTCCCCAGCTATTCCCAGCAAATGTATCATATAATTCTGTCCTGAAACTGAACAAGTTTTATCTAAACCAAGGTTAAAAAACTCACAGCTCAGCTTAAAAGGCTGAAAACTATCTAACTTTAGCTTGCATATATTTAGGGCAGCTTGCAAAACCAGAGTTTGCTGGTATTTAGTATAACCTACTCTGTGACCCTCCTTAGCAAAGGAAATCTGGCGAGATCTTACCCTGGAGTCACAATAGTAGTTTCCCTCTTTCTGGTTTCATTTGGTCTCCCAGGGAGAAGTAATAGTCTCCCATGTGACAGTGGGAGAAGGAGATGTTCACCTTAAGGACATGCATTGAAAATAAATCTGAAACGCATTTCCTTGCACATAACCCAGCTCTTTACACTGAAATTATCCTTTGGATTTTAGAGTGCAGAAAGTCTGTGAGCAAGTCTTGGGCTACTAAGATCATGAAATGGCTTATAATGTTCTTGAGATGCGTTTCAGTAGAAGGTGCAGGAAATATAGATTTAATTCTTTTATTCAAACTCAGTAGATGGTTTGGGACAATTAATTTCCAATTGTTTCCCAGTAGAGCAGATTTACTTGTATATTAATGAGGCACAGGTGTTAGGCCCCTGGTGCCTGCATGCCTGGGAGGCATATTTAGGTTGTTTATCTAGTCAGCCATAGGTACTGCAAGGTACTCAAGCTTGCCTTTAACAGTTTATACAGTGAGGCTTTTTAATTTTTTGATGTTTTTTTAAATTTGCTAGCACCTGTTAAAATTTTAAAACTGATCATGTAGAAAGAAGTAGGAGTGATTTCAATAGTAAATAGCACTAAATGTTAAAGAAAGTCATCTTCTATTATGCTTAACTGCCCAGCTTGACATTAAGAAGAAAAGAGGGTTCATTTAAACAAATACATCATGTGAGGAGCTAATACAGTCAACAGTATACTTTTCTGTTGCATATTTTTGGAATAGGTACTTCTTTGTCTACAGCTGAAACATGAATGTGCTTATATTAATATTCATTTTTCTTGTTTATTCACTGAACTGCAGTACCAACATTTTAGAGGAAATGGAATAGCCTCCATAGACATTATGAATTTCAGTAGCTGGCATAATTATAGCGATCTACATATTCATTAAATCCAAAGAAGAAATGTGTCCAAAAAGACAGCCATGCGTTTAGAAATGGTACACAACTAAATATATACATTAAAAAAAGTTCCTTTTCTCTGCTTATCCAAAATTGTGTAGTGTCATATAGTCCTTAAATCAGCGAAGGCTTTTTTTTTTTTTTTTTTTTTTGTTTAAATGTACATTCCTTTTGCTTTTGCACGCAGTAAAGAATGGGAAGAACTATTTGTAAACAACAATTACTTGGCAACTATACGGCTGAAGGGGATTAATGGGCAGCTGAGAAGCAGCAGGTTCCGTAGTGTTTGCTGGAAGGTAAGAAGAGAAAATATTTATTTACAGTTTGTGGTTGCAATATATCAACACATTACCTGATGCGCTGGAAGATTATTGATGCAAAGAATCATGAATTTTCCAAGAGACTTCATCCCAATGTTTTCCTACTCATTTTTATAATTCATAGGACATTTGCTAATCATATTTAGTTGCCTTAAAGCTGAATTGTGGGTGATAGCAAAAGATTCCTAGGAAAGAACATCTTTGTGCTGGGTGGTCTGTTTAGAATTGAGTGCCACACAGCCATCTCTCAGTCTGTGTGCAGTGAAGTCATGCACCAGAAATAAAAAGGAAATTTTGTCTCACAATTTATTTTTTGTGGAACTTGGGACTCCTTTAAAATCAGCCTGATGCTTCTGCTAGTATCTTTTCCCAGTGAAATGAGAAAATGAAGACCAATCCTTCTTGTAATGGCTGGATAGAGAGGGAAGCCAGGTCTTCCAGTCTTAAAACATAGCCGGTCCTCGGAGGTCTCTTACTGTAGTTTTGAAGTTGCAGGGGAAGGGAGAGAGAACGAAATGAAAATTATATTGAGATGCTATATAAAGTCCCAAAGAATTTTGTTGCACTGACATCAGGTCTTCTGTTCTACACTATGATAGTAGGGAACATTTTCCCTGGCAGAGTTGCTATATATTAGCACTGGTAATTTAAATTAGCTCACTTGGAATTTCTCAAGCTTCACATTGGCACAAAGACCTATAAAAAGTAAATGAAAATATTCTTTGTATATGAATGAAAGAAATTTGGAAATTGAAATTTGAAAAGTTTTTAGCATTGAACAAATTTATAGTTAATGGCAATACTTTCTTCAGAAAGGCAGATGAATATATGCCACAAGCATTGTCTTACCAGTCTGATGCTCCTTCAAGCCTCTGAATTAGGAGGCCATAACTCAAAACCCTGAACTAACAAAAGCATCAAGTCTCTTATTGTCCACTAATTAAATCAAGGAGTGGCTTTATTTTAGAACTAAGACTGGTTCTATTTGCATGTCCAGATATTGATCAGGGTTCTGGTTTAGACTGCCTGTTTTAAGAACATTATCTATGTTTTTGTTGAGTTATGAGATATTTAAGTATTTTTAATAATTTGAGAATGTTTTTTGTTTGACTATTCACTATTTCTTAACTCTGTAATGTGTAAATAAAAACATTTAAAAAGAAAAAAAATACTCTTTTTTCCTTATTTTATATGCAGTTAAATATAATTTTCCAACAGGTGATTCTTTCTAACCCTTTTTAAGAGAAATGTGGGAGAACTGAGATGTAGGCATTCTCAAGGACTTCTTGAAAAATTGACTCTTTAAACTGTCTTGCAGTATTCTAGAACATGTTGCTTTTCTATAGATTAAGATTTTCCCTTTCCACACTTCTTAGGTAGAGTATATCTCTGCTTAGTTTCTGCTGTGCATTCATGTTTGATTTTAAGCATGTTTCATTAGCTCAACAGTGTTATGTAAATAGCTTAGTTTTGTATATTTAGTTTCATCTCTTTGCATTTTGTTTCTGCCTTAGAAGTCTCAATCAACTTTGCTGAAGTTGTGACAGTTTATAAAGCTTGAGTTTGTGGCTTCAGATATTTTTAATGCTTTATTTTGTATGAAGGACTGCTATTCTTTCTGGATTCTTATTTATTGATGGGAAAGTAGTAAAGCCAGGAGTATTTTCTAGGTCTTTGCTTTCTTCTTATGTGTAGGGTACTTGCTCCTCCTTTCTGAGATTATTTATGCTGTCTGATAGATTTATATGAAAAGTTATGTTAAATTTCTTTTGTTTTGTTGACAGTTATTTCTGGAGGTTCTACCCCAAGACAGAAGTCAATGGATTAAAACCACCTCAGACTTAAGAACTTCATACAGTAAGATCAAAGAAATTGTAAGTTGGTACAGAATAGGTTCTCTACTCTCATGCTTTGACACAGATAACAATACTTACAGTATAACAGAAGAGGATTTGATCTTTTTCTGTTTTTACCCAGCATATTACAAACCCTCGGAAAGCAGGACAGCAAGATCTGATAATCAACAACCCACTCTCTCAGGACGAGGGGGTAAGTTGGTTCTATCAACACATGTGCTACTAAAATTATCTTCATCATCATACTGACACAAATGACGTCTTGCTGAAGAAGACAGAATTGCAGGTGCTAAAATCTCCCTCCTAAATTTCCAAACTGACTTATGCTAACAATTGTTTCACAGGCTCTGCTGAACAATCAGAAACACTCATTTCTAGGTTAATATACTGATTTTTCAGGGCTTATCACAGGGAAGGTTGTGATGAACAAAAGACTATAAGTCCAGTTTCACAGCGTATCCTTTCTTTAACTGATACACTTTTTCAGCACTGTGTGTTTTCATTTTATACTTAAAATGGTTCTAGTTGAAGGAGTGAGTGTTTAAACAGTCAATATGAAGGGAACACTGTTAACAGCAAATACTGAAGAACCCTCCTCTGGAAGACTGTTCAGCTTTGGAAGATTTTCACAAGCAAAAATAGAATTGTTGTATGTCTGAATTGCATACGTGCTGAGTTAATGTGTAAAGTACCAGGCTGTAAGATAGGCAATTCTTCTAAGGTTTTTAATTCTTTTTCTTTATAGTTAAAAGAAACAAAAGTTTCTTTTCTAATCAGAAAGCAAACAGCTGCAAAATGAAAGATCCAGATTTTAAAGAAATACTGAAAATGTGGTAAAAGTATTTGGCCTGTCATTAAGTGCCGAGCATACAGTTCTCATTGAAATTAATAGGACCTCCTGGTAGCTTTGTATTTTCGAAGTCCTGACACTTTGAGGAGGGCTTACATGTTGCAGATTTGGGAGCTTAATTTTAGGCAACTTTTTTTATACCCTGTTTTTCTACTGCATTTTGTTATACCTGAGAAGCTCTTAGGATTTTATAGCACAGATCTTTAAGCTTTTCTGTTAATTATATTACCATTTTTGAATATTCTTTTTTATCAAATTTTCCAAATAATACCATTTAAAAAATTTGTTATGCTGCATTTAAGAGATTTACACCCAGAAAGACTGTCACAGATTTCTTTGGTGTTACTACTTGTACTTCCCTTTTGTTCACAAACGGAAGCCCATATATTATGTGCATTTGGTGTGGTACTCTGCTTCATATTTAATGTAGAAGGAGAGAGGGAATTGCTTGTTGAAACATGTATTGATCACAGACACAGTGGTGGCTCTGCAGCCAGTATGACTATGCATGCCATCAAACCATTCTCGCATGCAGCTGGACAGAAAGTTACATCAATTGGAAAAGATTTAAAGTGTTTCTGCTGTAGTTTGGGATTCTACACAGTGGCACAAACTTCTTTCTGTTTCTGATGTGTTTAGGAGATACAAGAGAAAGGTTAACATGTCAGAGTATGGGACAGGGCATTAATCTATAAAACAGAGCCACAGGCCAAATGAGGCATAGGAATAAAGTGCCTTTGAGCCTCTGCAGTGGCTTAATGTTTTACTCTTTCAGTGTCCTGAGTTTTACTTCCTTTTCACAATGCAGATTATGTTTCCTTCATCCTTTGCTCTGATGGATGGGGGTAGGAGCAGGCACAGGAGAGTTTCAAAATGTGATCAAGCTGCATGAGAAGAGATACAAGTTAAAAAGATACTAGTTTTACATAACACATTGTCAAGGATCTAAATACTTTTAAAGTTTGAAGTTTTTTTCATTGTTTGTAACAGAAATATAGAAGCTAATTGTAATTCTTTTTTTGTTATTTTACCTTCCTCTGCTACATAACATTAATTTTCTTTTCTTTCTGTGAAGCATAGGCCGCCATGGCAATTAATTGTTTACAGGGGAGCTAGAAGTTCTGGAAGTATTGTAGCCACCATCTTTGTACAGTATTTCATTCACTGGTGCTGCTGCTATCTGAAAACAAACCTGCATGACAAGGCTACTGTAGATTTTGTTCCTTCTGTAGTTTGATAATATGGCCAAGCTACCATCCCTTTACAATAAAGAATAGGCTTTACAATATGTTTCCTGGAGCATGCAAACAACAACATTTACTGACTTCTTTCAGGTTAGCTTTTGCGAAATATTGGTAAACAAGGCATGGAAACCAAAGAAAGAGAATGGAAATGGTCATAAGCACAGATATAGAAGTTAAACCTACTTCATACTCTTTTATTTATTTTTTTCATGTTGACCGTGAGCTTTAATTAGCCTGGGTTTCCCTGTTGGAACTTTTTTTAAATGGCCAGTCTTCATCTGTATATGTACCATTAGAATGATGTCATTTTTATAATAGGTATTTGATCATCATATTCCTTATTCGATTTTGCCTCTGCTAAGAAAAACTAACTCACTTCCAAACAATTTCTTGAGTATGGAAATTGTAGCACCCGCCAGTCAAATTCTGTATATTCATAGGAGAAATGTAGTACAGTATTGTGATACAGACCTTTTTCAGTAAGTGAAGTACTGAATTTTTTTTCAGTTGAGCTGCTGGTTCTGGTAATTTTGAATTTATTTTGACTTTCTGAATATTCTTCAGAGACTCCTTACAAGTAACACAGACCTGTAGCCATCCAGTGAGCAAATGGGGTGAGCCTAGAACAAGGATCCAGGAACTTGAATGTTTTAATCTCTGATCTAAATGAATTTCTCAGATATATTGGGCTGGTCACCAACATTCTTTTTCACCCATAAATACTGATATACCTGTCTACCAGGGAATATTGAGGATTAATTAATTAATATTTATACAGTACTTTGCTGATGTAGTATATAAGCTTTAAGTATTAGTAGAAGTCCCTGTTTCATATAATTATTTTTCCTTGTTTCAGAGTCTTTGGAATAAATTTTTCCAGGATAAAGAGCTTCGAGCAATGATTGAACAAGATGTGACAAGGACGTATGTAGATCTTTAAAGAAATGTCTATATATAAATCTAGAGTCTGTGTTTTTATGTGGTATGCATTATATTGTGTTTTCTTGACTTTGGTTAGTATAAATGTCAGGATTGTTGAACATGAATGTGTAGAAACATACATTAAATGTATGAAAATACAGCTTTCTTAGAGTGAAAACCAAGAAAATCGAGTTAAACGTTAAACTCTGGAGATTTATTGGTATCATTGAAGAAAAGCTGTTCTAAATTAAGATATTAGGAAATGTATTACTATATGAAATTTAAAGTAGTTTTCCATATGAAGTAAAGAGAAGGTAAGAGAAACTGAAAGGTCTTTTAACAAAATTATGATCATAATGAAAGATTGAACAGATGACTTTCTTTAACACTTATTCAATCAGTAATTAAAAAAACAGTTTGTAATTAGTAAGGAAAATATCACTCATCTAGAGAAGTTAAGCATTTGTATTTTTATTTATCACTTTCCTAGTGTTATTTGTCACATATGCCTTTTAAAATTTGTCCTAATATTACTGTGATTATGTTTTCATCTTCTTGGCCCTTAGGTCATTGCTGTTTAGGAATGTTGTTTGAGTTAAAACACTCAGTTCCTGAAAACATTTCTTTTCAGAGTGGAAGCATTGACTGATGTGTAAATCTAATTAAATTCAATTACTGGTTTGCTACCATGTGAAATTTTACTGTATTGCAAATATTTTTCGTTATAACTTGAAAAAAGTGGTGATAGTCATAGATTTTACAAATCCCAAGCTCACACATTTTCATTTACAGAAACAAAGTCATGCAGAAGAAATCATTGCTGTCTGTTTTTGGAATATTTTATATGTCCGTCCCTAGACCCATTCTTGAATGCATTTTGCCATGAGATGTATAATTAAAATCTGAGTATGCTTTCATGTGCATTCTCACAACAGATGGTATTTTTTGTTTGTTAAAGGAAACAGTTCAGGATGTTCTAAGATTAAAATATATACGTATCTAAACTATAATTGGAGAATGAAAAGTTGTGTGGAGGTTATGTTGGATGTAAGACAGTTAAAAAAAAAAAAACATACATACATATATATATATATATATATATATATATACAAAAAGTCCAGGCTTTCACTCCGGCAAATGACAGAGTGAGTAATATTCACTAATATCAGTAACAGGGACTACAGAAATTTCCGTTTATGTATTTATACAAAATTATGTCCACTTGAAAAAATAGCAGAATACATTGTGTTATCAGTATCAAAAAAGTCAATCAATGAAGGAGCAAAATTTATCAAAATAATGCATTTATTAGATAAACTAAATGCATTTTTTTGTTTGCCTAATCATAAATATAGGATATACATAAAACACACACATGTATACACATCATTCTTACACGAATCAGTAAATTCTGCACTCCTTGGCTTTGGAATGTAAGTAGCCTCTCTTTAACGTTGTCCCTTTCATTTCCATTATTTAAATAAATACCTGGAGTTACAATTTGTCATTACTCTAAAATGCTTTTTATTAAAGGTGAAAAAAATTTAGCATTACATTGTTACCATAATCACTACCCTCTCACTTCTGTTTCTTATTTAATGAATATTTTTATATTCTTTTTCATCCAGTTCAGTACTCCATCATCCAACAGCATTAATAATGCTGTAGAGTTCTAACTGCTCACAGAGTAGCAAATGAAAGTCTCACCTATCAGAGCAGTAAAAAATTTACTCAGTAATGTTTTTATTAGAATTACCTGAAGTGTAGAAATAATAGATGGGGAAAGTGGGTAGAAATATGTTTTTAAAATTGGTATTGGTTTAAATTGTTTTAAATTTCAGGATTTCGCTACCTAAGGGGAACTGCGGTAAAGTTTGTGTGTGTGTGTGTGTGTGTGTGTGTGTGTGTGTGTGTTCATATGTGTTTTGTGAATCTTTATCTCACCTAATAATTAGATTTGTAAAATACAGATGCTCACAGCTAGGCTAGTCATCCTTTAGAGTATACATACCTGAAGAATTCTTTAGAAGAGATGAAATCATCTCTTCTAAAGTAAATGTCTAGTATAGATCTGATGAATCATGCTTGTGAGAAGTATGGTTTTCTGCAGTCATTATAAAAGGCTTCTAGCTCAGCTGTACCTAACTAACCTGTAGTCACCTAAAGTCAGGTGAGAGTAATCCAAGCCATAATGTCTAAATACAATTTTTTTGCCTGTTGCATAGTAAGAACTTTCAATATTTACAAGGGAAGTAGGGAAGGATTTTGTTATGTTAGTCCTAACTCATTAGGGATCAGCATTTCTAATTAATCACCTGACTTATTTTTTATGGTAGTTGAGACATCCAGAATGGATTTTCCTTCAGCTGTCTAGAAGTGTGTACCAAACATCATCTTTTTCTATACCAAGTGAGAAGCTTCTAAAAATGAGTGTGGGAAGGGGAGGATAAAGGAGGTTTGTTATAATGCGAGTAAAGCCTTACTTTAAATGTAGATAGCAGTACCAAACAAGTTATGACTATAATACTACCTTCTATTATTCTACTAAGAAAGGAAGGCGTGTATGAGTTGGCACCATAGTAACTCGTAACAGATATAAGAATGCAGTGACTAATTACTGTCATTCAAAAGATGTAGCAAGGACAAATGCTGATTTATTTTGTGATGTTTAAGAAGGTAAGCAATAAAGAAGAATTTTTAAAAATATTTTGCAGAAATGGTAGTCAGCAGACTGGCAGATGCAAGAGCATCTAGCTGCGAGTCAAATCAAAATGCCAGTCTACTTGCTGGCATCACCTTGTACACCTAGGGTAGTAAATGGCTAGATCTGATTACCCTCTTCCTCTCTTCAGTATTTTAAGAAAACAAAATGCTTAGGGTGCATTCCCAGTAGACTGGATTTATTTTTAAGTAGCGTTTTTATATATTGGTCTACCTAGTTTCTGCCTTAGGAGTAGTAATCACAGTTTAGGGAAATGGAAACTGTGAAGATGAGTAGGGTGGGTGCTGCCATTTCAAACTCTCCATCTCTCAGATAACAAAAAAACCCTAACAGCCCATTAAAAAGATAATGGAGAAACAATTAGGCAGCTACATTTCCTAAGTATATAGAAGAGATTGGAAGAAACAATAATACATTGAGTATGAACATAGGAGATGAAATCTAGCTTCTATGTAAGAGGAGGGACTGCTGGAAGGAAGAGCTACCTTTATACACCAATTTATTTATTCTCAAGAAAAAAGTGAGCTACAGGGGGGCAGTTATTATTATTCTTTACCAAACCTTTGCAGTTGCAAGAGGATCTTCCATTTCTTCTGGATCTCCATTTCTCCAGCTGAGTAACAGGGTTGGGGAATAGCAGGGGATGGTATCTGTTGAAAAGATGATGACTCCGTAACTGTGGTCAAGAGCGTCATTCCTGTCTGGCACCAAATTTGTTTTATAAAGTTTTTGTGCATCCTGTCATTTGGTTGCCAGCCTAAGTTTCTTCTGTGTCAAAGTTTGGCTGCCTCTGGTATAGGGACCCCTAAATGGGCTCAGGCAGTGCTTTAAAAAATGATAACTCATGCTGGTCTTCAGTTTCAGAAAGCAGGGACTTGACTGCACCGTTGTTTAATTGTAGCAGCTGTGGTAAAACAGTCTAGCAAAATTCCATGTCCTTATGCAGTCATTCTCAGAAATGTAAAGAAATGTAATACTCTAGTGTTCATGAAAAGTATTCTTACCTTGCCCTATTTGAGGACACTTCTAAATTGAGGATATTTTTAAAACAGTGCTTTAATCATAAAATGACATTCTCCATAAAATTCCATCCTGAACTGATAGTTCCCTTGTGATCTCTTGTATTTACATTTACTATAATTAATACTTCAGCCAGCTTATTCCTGAGATCATTATTATTCTTTCTGTCACAATCTCTGGTATTACTAGATCCTCACAGATATCTCTGTGTATTTTTGAGTTTTCTTTATTAGTCTTCTCTTCCTAAACTTCATAGGGCAGGCCTGAATAACAGTCCTTCAGAAATAATCTCTTCAAAGCCCTAAATTATGTCGATTGCCATCTGTTGTAATGCACTTTTGGTCTCAGCTGTGTCCTTCCTTTACAGTAATATGATTAGTACAAGTGCATACAAGTTTCCAAATGTTGGTCTACCATTCTTCCTACCAGGTGCCAGGAAAACATTAAACCCCTCATCCCAATGCCTTTCTCAGGACTTAGGCTGTATTTAAGCCAACGGTGTCTCCTCTGCCTTGGTTCTTCATTCACGTCCTTCATCCAAGGAATTCAACGCACCTTTCTAGCCTTTATTAGTTATCTTTCTGTGCTTACCTGTTATCACCTCTGTGAGATGACCACAGTAATTATCAATACTAATAGTTTTATCTGAAGTAATTTATTATGATTCTCTATATTGTTTCTCTATGACAGGCTTTACAACAGCCTTAATATGACTTGTCTATAGTTTAGCATTGTAGCTCAGACTTGGGAAGCAGAGAAAACATTCACCAGAAGAAAACTTATCTACAATCCATGCGATTCCATTTCAAAACTGACAGTACTATAGCCTTTATTTTAGCAATCTAGCCCGAGGCCTACTGTTGTTGTCTTTTTAAGTATTCTGGTTTTAGTTTGTCTGATTTTTTCCTTTCTTTTTAGTATTCTACCTTTCCAAATATTTTTGTTTTATTTGTTACTGCTCCATATAGCTGGATGTGGTTTGGGGTCGTTGCTTTATGAAACATTTTTTGCCATCTATATACTTCTTCAGTAAGCATGAAAACACTTCTGTTTGCACACTTATTCATTAAAGTACACCAGCAGTCCTACCTCCGGCAGTCAAGGAGCAGGATGCACAGGTAAAAGTTGCTTCTGGAGAATAGTTGCAGGTTGAAAATATTTATGTTTTCCTGGATTATAAGCAGATAACAGGATTTTCCCAGAAGCTTTTTTTCTCTTGTTCTCACACTAGGTCCACTTGATTCTATTTCACTTAAACTATATGTGCCCTGCCAGAGTATCAAATGATTTCATAATCGTAAAATTTGAGACAGCTTCTAAAGACAGTGAAATGGCTAATTATGTTGCATCACAAAAGATGCCAGTAAGTATATTGGAGCTTAGAATACTGGTTTTCATGTCAATTATGAGATATTTTAATAATCTTATCATTAAATTCTAATTATTTTTCAGATGTTCATGAAATATTGAATGTTTGTGTATATGCTTCTTCTGACATACTCTTCTTTCTTCCATTTTATTCCAGTTTAGAACTGGAAATTTTACAAACTTCCTTAATATATTGTAGCTCTTTTACTCTTCCTTAGCCCAACTTTTATCTTGAGAAAAAGAAAGAGCAGGGCTAAGCACTATTTGTGAAACTACAGAGTAGACTGATGATCCAGTTACAGTCGACAACCTAACACAGATTAAAAAAATGGAGTGTGTCATATAAAGTATGATTTTTATCTATGAAGATTTGATCTTTGGTGCTTATTTTTCTAGTACCTGAATCAAATTAATCAGTAGATAACTGTTTGCCACAGTTCTAGTTTTAACTGACTTGTTTTTTTGAGGGGAGAAGTATCTGCTTAAATTTTTTGTTAGCAAGTTTTAGATTCATTGGTGAAGGACACAATCAGTGGAGCACAGTCTTGGAGTTAAGTTACTCTTGGGATGCTGTGCGATGTAGGACCAGAATGGTCTTGTGGGCTGCTGTGTTTGGCAGTAAGAGTCTGTGTGCTGGAAGGAAAGGATAGATCTTTGATTCAGTCATTGCCTCTCATTCTATCTCCTTTCATTCTGCTTTAAATCAACCTGTTTTCATGACATGGAGGAAAAAAAGAACCTGATTCTTTAGGCAGGAACATATATGATACATCATTTGGATTTAGTTAGATTCTCTAAGTCATTCGTTTTCAGTTGATTGGCTGTTTGTAAGAAGTTGACAGTTAAAACAATCTGCCATTTTATTTCATTCTTGCAGATCGCTACTTTTTATAATATTAAAAGGGATTACTTATTTAAATATAACTGGTGATATCATTGTATATATTTAGCAGACTGATGTTTATTAAAAAACATGGTTCAGAATTTTGTTGCAAAATAAATGTAACAAGTCTTTAGAAGTATTCTTACTCTAGCAGCACCCACAATGGAAAAGTGGGAACAGTGGGAAAGTAGACAAGGGAAGTGCTGTCTTACCTAAACCATTTCTAGAAGACCAGCAACTGAGGTTCTGTGTGCTGTGTTGTTTACTTTTGCTGTATTTCTTTATTTTCAGCTTTCCTGAAATGCAGTATTTCCAACAAGAGAATGTGAGGAAAATTCTTACAGATGTTCTGTTCTGCTACGCCAGAGAAAATGAGCAGTTGCTTTATAAACAGGTAATGAAAATACTGTACAGGTGGCATTCTTTGACTCAACATTTTCTATACGGTTTGACAATAATGTAGTTCTATTGTATCTGAAGTATCATAATGCTAAAGTAATCAAAGTGATGCTTGTCAGCAGGATAGTAAGAAAAGTAAGCTCATTGAATAACATATGCTTTTTCCTCATAACACAGTCCCTCAAATTGTTTTCTTTCAGGTTGCTAAGTTGTCTAACTTCAAATTTCTTCATAAACAACATCTTTTTCTTCAGTGTTGGTTAAGAAAGAGAAAAAAAGGACTTTCTCTGCTTAGCTAAAGAAAGAAAATATGTAGCAGGATTAAAAATGGTACCAAATAAACAAAAGCCATAACCAGTGACTTCTGAAATTTAGGCAAAGTTTACTATTTTAAGTTTGACGTAGTATTTTAAGTTCCTCCTCAAAGCGTTAAAGCCATGTGGTGCTTTAGTGAATAGATCCTTTATCTAACCCTGTAGCATCCAAATACAATGCAGCTGACTAATACCTCAACTCAAGGGCAAGGGTGCTACAAATACCACTTCTACAGTGTTACCTGAAGGAGAGTCTGCTCAAACCATTTTTTATGAAATGGTAAATTAAGTCTTAAACCTGCACTAACTATGCATCCTTATGGGATGCAGGCTAAATTAATTTAACATTTGTTCTGAAGGTTTTAAAGTGAGTATAAACTTGATGCTAAATTAATATAGTAAGACCAATATGCAGAGTATTGTCATAACTGTACTTTTTTTCTTCAGGTTGTTAACTGTAGGGTGAATAGAGACTGACAAACTGAGGGATACTCTGTGTGCATGGATGAAGGACAAACTGTAGAGCAGCAAACTTTAGGTAGACAAAATTTTTTATGAAAAAAAATGCAGAACTTGAGTAAATGTGAAGATTTTTATAAGGCACTTTATGCTTTCAGGCATGATCTGTGACCACCCTGTCCTCAAATCAGGAAATTATTGATGTTTTGTGAAGAAGAAAAAAAACAAAAAAAAACCAAAAAAAACCACATATAAGTTGAAGGAACAGTTACTACAGATTATATCAAAAATCAAATACATAGTTATCAAACTTATGAAATCTCTATCAGCTGGTTATTTCTCATGTTTGACTGACTGTGAACAAAGAATAGTCTTGCATGAGAACAAGAAAAAATTAGATTTCTGAGCTATATTTTGAAGGGCACTGATAAAGAAAACATTTCAGCAGTATTCTGCGTCCCCTTCTAGTGAATATAGGCCAGAGTACTGATGATGGGAAAAAATGGAGAAACACATTCCGGCTAATTTAGTCTATCATTTATTGAACAAGAAGTATTATTTTACTCTTTGATATGACTTAAAAGGACTTAATTACCCTCTGCTCATATATAAAATCTTCTTGATTCCTTACCAAGAAATAATACCTTTCTACTTAAGGATGGAATATTTAGCCAGATCAAATTTAAAAAAAAAAAAAAAAAAAAGCCCTGAGTTTCATCACAAGCTGTTAAAGCTATTATTTTCTACTAGGTGACACCCCGTTTAACATAGACCATATTGTTAATAGTTATGGGATTTTATTGAATTAATGAGACTGTTATCATGTAGTAGAATGTCTTGCTGAGTTAATTGAAACTGCAGAGATTATATAAATGGTATTAATGAACTTTGACTGCCTGATGCCTCAGCTTTAATAAAGACTGCTTGGTGGGCTAAATGAACATAGGCAGATAAAAGAACAGGTTCAATTTTGCGAGCCTACAGGCTGTTGACAAAGAAAACTTCTTTACCTCTGTTTTCAACTGGTGTGCATCAGTAGTGCAGTAATTCCATGAAGGGGTTGCTACGGGACTAAGGGGAGAGGTGAAGTGCAGAAAATTAAATAAATTTGGATTGTGAAAAACTGTTGATTTAATCTCTCTGAAGTATGTGCAGTATATCACCCAAGTCTCATGGTGCTGTGCCAATTCCACAAAATAGCAAATGATTGTGGTTTTCCTCTCTGTTGTGGACATGTGTCACTTTTATTAGGAGCTTTTCTTTTTTCTTACCTCATTTGAAAAGGGTGTTTTGTTTGATTGGGATTTTTTTAATTAATGCTCCTGTTACCTTATTAGTAGCAATCCTGCTTTTTTGTCCCTGTGTCCCTTTCCTTTTAGATAACATTTCTTTTATGTCCATCAGTACCCTTCTCTGAATTACCTAATAGGAAGGAGAGTTAGTGGTGGTGGTGACAGGACATATTTTTTCCCTCTTTTAGCAAATACCCATGTTGCAGTCAATCCTCCTGTCCTACTATTTTTATTGGTTCTGTTTTTACCATTGACTCAAGTACCACTTGCCACAATAGCTTCCACTACATCAAAGCCTATCATTTTCTTGAAAATAATGAGGGTTACCATCAATAACAGAACACCTCCAAGCTGCTCTCTCCACAGTAACCTGAATACAAAGCCCAAATTAAGATTGCCTTCATATTCAGTATACAACATGGGACTGGTCATAGAGCCATAGAATGGTTTGGGTTGGAATGGACCTTAAAGATCACCTTGTTCCAGCCCCCCCCTGCCCTGGGCAGGGACACCTTCCACTAGCCCAGGTTGCTCAAAGCCCTGTCCAGCCTGGCCTTGAACACTGCCAGGGAGGGGGCAGCCACAGCTTCTCTGGGAAACCTGTGCCAGTGCTTCATCAGTCTCATAGTGAAGAATTTCTTCCTTATGTCTAATGTAAATCTATCCTCTTTCAGTTTAAAGCCACTACCCCTTATCCTATGACTACACACCCTTGTAAAAAGTCCCTCTTCAGCTTTCTTGGAGGGCCCCTTTAGGTACTGGAAAATTGCTTGCTGGTCCTTTTGTTCTGGATGTGAATTCCTCCGTTTCATTTATATGACCACATACAAGAGCTATATTTGCTATTAGAATTGTAACACTTGGCCAATAAATGAAAACTTATACCTCTGTCTGTCAGCATCTGTACAGGACCTGATGTTTCTCTTTCAAAATATTTGAAAAAAAGTTCTAGTTCCTTGAAAATTTACAAACTTATAAATGTACATAAAGTGTATCTGAAGTTCACAACATTTTACTGAAACTATTATGGGGCATCAGCATATCGTCTTACAAGAAGCAATCAATAATGTTTAATATGCATATATGCATGAAAGTTTTCTTTGTAGATGGTTTGTGGTTTTTTGACCAGCATGAAGTAACATTTTATTTGATGAGGAAAAAGATACATCTGTCCCTAGTCAAATGGAGTAGAATGTTGTGAAGCTCTATTACAGATTTTAAAGACAGAATCCTCACTGGGTTTGTTGAATTTTTAAATAGCAGCTGTAAATATAAAATCTAAAGAGAATAGTATATTGTACTTAAGAATATGTAAAAATTACTCTTAGCATTCTTCTGTAAGACTGGTGCCAAAATTCTGGTCCTAGTTACACTGAAAAGAAATAGTGACAATTAAGCTAAATCACTAGGCTAACTATTGTTCACTCATGATTTGATTGCCCTTAGAGAAGTCAATATAGTTTTGAAATGCACTGATTCACTTTTCATTGTAGAAATGCTATATTTCTGGTTTTCCTTCTAAACCATAGACTATATTACGAAATCAATATTTTGTTGTAGCTGGAAAGTGTCATAAAATTATCTGAGCTCTGTTATTTCTAACACTAAAGAGTTTTAGTAAACTGCAGCATTGAAAAATATGTGTATGCATATTACACTGGTAGCTTTTCTTGCCAAGCTAAAAATCTTTAAACATTTGAAGTACTTTTGTAACTGAAAGATCAGAGGTATCTTTTTGAAATCCTGGTATTTCATCGTCTGTTTGTTTTGTTTCTGTTGTATGTGGGCAGCCACATTATGATTCTACTTTATTATAAACTTGGTATATTATTATGTTGGAAGAATGTATGATGTGCTTTTATCTTTTATAACAATTCTTATTTTATGTCCTCTTTCTTTTACTTCAGCTTATATGTTTACAGCTTAGGTGGTAGTTTTATTAGATAGTCAAGTTTTTTGGCATTTCCATTTCTCTTATTTCACGTTACCGTATCTGGATGAATAAAAGATTAGACATGGAGCTGATAATTAACTAAGGGCTGTGTGTATGTATGAAAGTACAACTCAAGTTACCTACAGTTTATTTAAATATTTTTGCCACACATATTTATTGTCTAATCTTGAACCTATCTCCCTGTCTCTCCTATTCCTCCTTTTGGTATGACCATAAGACTTTCAGAAATCTGAAGTTGTCAATTTGTAATCTAACCCATATTGTTGTTTGGGAATTTTACATCAGCTCCTGAAATCAAGTGGCTACATTGGGTTTAATTTTTTTTTTCCCCCTAACGATTTCTATTTAGCCTTCATCTTTTGAAGTAATCCCTAAAGGTTCAGAAATAGGAAGAGAAAGAAAACTTCCAAACTTCAGTAGTTTTGCTGTCTTTAGCTTTGCCCAAATAACTGACTGCTATTGCTGCAACCCTACAGTTGAGACTGTAACAGTCATCTCAGTCCTGAAGAAATTAAAATTAAATTTCCTAGGATTTCAGTTGATAGCACACAGAGAAATTTCCAAACCTCTTTTTTTTTTTTTTTTCCTTCAACACTGCTAGGTATTAGAATGTCTTCTTACAAACAGATAAGATTCACTAACATGCATCCAAGCACACTCAAAACACATAATGGTCTAGAGAGGGCTTCCACATCTACCTCTCTGCTCAGTTTGGACTACTTAAGGAAAATCCCCATTATTTCCAATAAAAGTTAAAGGGTTTTAGTAGTTAATGGATCTGTTTGATACATATGAAGCTGATACACTAACTCACTGATATTGAATACTCCTCAAATGCTACATGGAATATCGGGGGATATACCAGCAATGCAACAGGGTAGCTGCACAAGCGTGTAACTCTTTCATTGCTCACATCTGTCTACCACTGAAAGGGCTGGAAAAGCAAGTGTAGAGGCTTCCTAGCTTGAAACTGCAAGCATAAAAGTAAAACAGCTCCTGTCTGGGGACACATCATCTGAATCCTGAGAGCAGCCTGAAATGCCAGTGAGCTTGATGGGCCAGCCCCAGCGCTCTTTCCGATAACAGGATAGACAAGATGGTCTTCTTGGCACCCCTGTCTGCCCAGAGCACTCACCTGGAGTTGGGGGACTGAGGCTCAACTTGATGAAGTAGTCGCACTTTTGAAATGGAGCACTGTTGGCAGCACACTCTTCCTCTTAGATCCAAGCAAGGATTCGACCCAGAGCAAGACTCAGCAGGGCTAGCCTGGCTGCCTGGCATCAATCCCCAGCTGTAGCTGCTGGTTTTGGGCTGAGGTCAGGAATTCTCTTCCCTTAGAGTGATCCCTGTGTCCAGAGGCAGCCAGACAGGTCTCAACCCTTCATCCCACATCTCTTCTATCACCGAAGCACTCCTCTCTCTTCTTTTGTATGGCTGACCCCCACCCCAGCCTGTAGCTTGCTACCTGCCATCCTAGCCCACCACTGGGAGCCCAACTCCCCTGACATAACCAATTTCCCCAGTTATGACACCACAAATCCTCTTTTTCCCTGATCTAATCTGAGGGAAGGAGCTGAATATCTACTGGAGATGAGGTTTCATTCTGCAAGGAATAGTTTTACCTGCAGCACATTGCTGCTTCCTAACTGGACTGCTTCTTTCCTGAAGCGGTTGCTTCTGCTTCTGCTTCTGATAACAAATTGACAAGCCCCAGGTGAATCAAGGCAAATCAAGACTCCTGGTTTGTTCCTAGTCAGCTCTGGGTAAAAGCACTGATGGCTGGCCTGGGTGGCCCAGCTATGCTTCTAATGCTGGCCTAAGTCCTCAACTATTCACCAATTTTTTCTCTTCTGATCCTTCATGTTTCTGTATTTTTTCTGTGCCTTAATATAGATTGCACATGTAAGTAATAGTTTGTAATGGAATAGTACCAGGTTTCCTATGTATTGTGTTCTAGTGAGTTCATTTTTAATATTGACATAATGACTTTAAAAATAAAAAAGGCAAAAGAACCAATTTATTTCTCGTATCCATGGGACTGTAAGTTTAATTTTCTGATTTCCCTAATAGCTGCCCTTGTCTCCTATAAAGGCTACTGCTCTGCTGGTTTTGGAACATTATCAAATAAAAAATAATTCTAAATTTTGTAATTTGTGCCTATTGCAGATCTTTGTTCTGTGGATCATGATTGTAATTATCATAAATAAAATTCATATTTATGAACATAGATCTTGGAGTAAACTGCCAGGTGCAGGGTTGACTACCATTGCCAAGTTGTTGTCTGTTGTGTTAGAAAAAGGGAGAATAACTTGCTTCTGTATATTATAGAAGAATAAACACTTGGATTTAATCAGAATTTAAGATAAAAGCCATTGATTGTGAAGCCATTCTGTAAAAAATGTAGATGTTCATGCTTTTAGTTAGTCTCTGTGTAATATTGCTGGCTGCCTGATGCTATGCATTAGGAACTGTTATATGACTGGAAAACCTTATTATACTTTTGCTTCCTTTTATGTTTAGGGCATGCATGAACTTTTAGCTCCCATTGTCTTTATCCTGCATTGTGACCACCAAGCTTTTTCACATGCCAGTGAAGCTGCACAACCAAGGCAAGCATTTTGTTTTATTTGTGTAGTATTAAAAATTTGCTTTCTTAAAATATAAATAAGTTGACTGGACTAGAACTTACAAACATTCTCTTCTTAATTCTTTTTTTATAATTGATAAATTGATATCAGAAATTGTTGCATTTTCATGCTTTGATGGGGGTGTCCTTATTTCATCTTCCCTACTATAGCTTCTGAAAGGGGGATTAAAAGTGTAGGCATTGGCCCCTTCACAGATAGTAGTTGGTGAAAAAAGGGGAGACAAGACACCTAGGGAAAACCTTAATCAAAGAGCTTATGTACATACCTGCTGTTTCACTTAATTCTTATTGCCAGAAATGGTTTAGGTTTTGTCATTGCAGAGAGGAGGCAGATTAGAGAACTGCAGCCATAGAACAGACATGTTACCAACTCTCTTTGCTCATACCTTAAAAGAGAAAAAAAATCAATGTAGACAAACTGTTGTGATTGATATTTTATTCATCACCTGCAATGTTGTAGCTGCAATATCTGACTACCCTTTGACTTGGTAGTAACATTAAGTTTAGGTATTCATTCTCCATTTTATTCAAACTCCGTGTGTGTGCATGTAATCATAACATATATAAAATATTACATCACATATGATGGTCTGTTAATCAAATTCAGATATCTTTTTTCTTGTGCTATATGTAAAGCATTATTTTAGAGAAGAAAAAAAAAAAACCAACCTACTTGCCTTTTTTGTATCGTCATTTCTTTTCATTTGTCTTTTTACACTCTCTTTTAGAGTCCAGCAGTGAATAAAACCAATTTAATTATGTGTACTAGATAACTTCTGTTAGCACCCCTTAACGTGATTGTTCAAAGGCAGTTAAGCATAAGGATGGAAAGGATGGAGATTATTTACAAGTGTGTGGTTTTATTCAATGTCTGTCCTTAGATATCCTGAAATTACCTAGAAGATGCTCTCCAGTGCTAAGTAACTTAAAATAACCATGTGTTATGCACAGCATTCTGTTCCAACCCCAATGAAAGAGTAGAGCTAAGCAGCAAAGTAGACGGAAAAGAGGTGCTGTCACTGATTAATTGCTGTTAAAGTACAATAAAAATACAGGCTATTAAAACAAAATAAATTAATGTTTTGATATACTGCATATTTGACCAGTAACCATATTTTTTTTTGTTTGGGACAAACAGTGATAGATTGTGCAGCAATCAATTATTCTAGATCAAGCATATTCAAATAATACATTGTGACATTCAGTAATTTGTTATTTGGAATAATTAGATGGTTACTTCATTGTAGTGCAGACAAGGCAGCTAATTTGGTTTTGATCTTTATGAAAAGGAAAGACTTCATTTGTTCAATGGAGTTGCTCTTTTTAATTAAAAAGGCTAGTTTTCTCATTTGCACTTTATATGAAAGTTGGCTTATAAATACATAATAGTACATGCAGAATGCTGACCAAAAATAAACATTCACATTTGGATTGTTCACTGTTTCCTTTTTCAGCGAGGAAATGAAAGTTCTTTTGAATCCTGAATATCTGGAACATGATGCCTAGTAAGTTTTAACAACTTCCTTTACATTTAATTTGCTGTTATTTGTAATACATTATTTAACACCAGGTTTCTGGGTTTTTCCTCTTCAGTGCAATGTTCACACATCTTATGAAAACTGCAGAACATTGGTTTTCAACTTTTGAACATGACAGTCAGAAGGTAAATATTGCTCTAAAATGTATTTATTGTATTTTTAAGTAAATGTCATTTTTAATATAATTCAGATAATTTGAAGCTAATAAGTCATCTTCTCTTAAACAACTTGGTTAAAGCAGGCTCAACCAGGTTTACAATCCTTAGAGGTTCTTCAGAATTCGGTCACAGGTGCTTGTGGAAAGTCTTCCAGTTGAGAATTCCTATCTGTTGAAAGATCACTTGTTAATCAAACCAAACGTGCAAACACAGATTCTCCTATGAGTGATGCTCTTGTGTGGCATTCAAAAAATTGCCTGTTATAGGCACATCTTTGTGCCCAAAATCTGTGCAAATGTCATGCATACAGACAGTGTTTAATGTATTGAGGCTTGAATTGTTTGCAACTGTTTACAATATAAACAATTTGCTGTAAAACCAAAGCTTTAATCATAGACTGTCCAGCAAAGGTCAGGGTGCATCTATCCCTGACTTCATCACTCCATTTCCTTACTTTTTTCATTTTTACCTCAGGGTATTCAGAGAAAATGTCTGTGCCCTCAGATCTCCTGTGTACAGACACCACTGTCTTTACTATGTTACTTCTTTTCACAGAAAAGCTTTTTCTGTGTTCTGAGTTTAGTTCTACAGAACTCTTCTTTGGACCATCTAGTCCTTCCCTGTAACCGTTTTCATGCACAACATGAGGAACAATTCCCACAATCAGTTTGCACAAGATTTCCTTTGAATACTTTTCTCCTGTCTCTTTCCCTGTTTACATTTCTCTCTGGTTTTAATTCTGAAAAATTATTTGTGCGATAGAGTATATGAAGAAGGTTCTAGCAAAACACAGCAGTATTACAGGTATTTGTCAAGACTTTCAATGTTTTATATCCTAAAAGAGTTTTCCTCCAGACTGTGTTCCACCTTGATTCACTTCAGCATTTTTCACATAGACCATGGGCTGAGTATCTAGAGTTAACAAAAAATTAATGAGAATTTGGTCAGATTTGCATGTCCACATGTGGAATTAGGGAGTGCTGGTTTGAGAGGTAGTTTTCCCTGTCTGTTGAAGAAAAAGATGTTCACCCAAGACTCACATAAAAGCTTCTATCATCTTTAAATGTTTAAATGTATTCGTGTATATATTTTACGAGACATGGAGCATTGGCATCTTGACTTAAGCTATCAACAGTTGTAAATTACTGTTTGGATTTGGGGTTTTCAATAATTCTCAGTAGCAAAGGATAAAGCATACGAGATACAAATTTTATGAACTTATTACATAGTCACTTTTATTCCAACAACAAAGCTGTGAGACATGTTTCTCTGAGTGTAGCTTTTCAGAATTCAGTGTATTCAAATGTATTTGTTCCAATTTCTGCAACAGAGATGGTAAAGTCTGTGGTTGAATTTTATTCTGGGAAATAACTAGGTCTGCTTACAGATTTGTAGTGCTTGGGTAGAAGGTGAAAGTTTATATTGCCCTTTCCAGTCCTTTCGTGGCATAAAAAATTAACAATGCAAAGCGCATGGATTAATATCTAGTTGTTTGTTCTTGTTCTTTGCAAACATGTATAATCTTTAATAATCCTTTCTTGTACGTATGCCTTTTACAATCATGACTTTGAGGGTTAGCTACATAATAAAGTCTGAATCTTCACAAAGGAAGCAATGAAAGCATGTGCTGAGAGACATGTTACATTTTATAGCCTCTAACAGTTGGTTCCATTACTCCCGATTGCTATTAGAGGAGCTTCTCCAGCTACTCCATTCCTTAGTGGTTAATGAAAGAAATCTGTCCACAGTTTATATTTGTACTATGTCCTAGCCTCTCTTTATTGCTGTAGCATTTGTTTCCTAAATGCATGAATATACAAATTGTATTAGTATCGACTGCCAGCCAGTTTGTGTTGTGGTAGGTAATGTTTTGTGGCAGGATTTGGTGACTATATTCCTAATACTTCATCTAAATTTTTCAGCTGCATCTCACTGGTAGTCATATTTTAACTGTTCTTAGAGGTGAATCTGATGCTCTCCTGTAAACAGTGTAGCACATGTCAGAGCCATCCCTCTTTTTGTCTTTTTGTTGTGAACTGCATCCTTTTGGGATTGATCATTTGTATTTTGTGTTAGCAGTAGATGACTAAACCCATGCACTCAATTTTTTTCCAAGACTTAGAAGCTCACAAAAAGAAAACAGGTGTTTTGTCTCATGTGGCAACTTAATAGATAGTGAGTATGGGCAGGGGCACAGTATCATGTTTGTTTGGCTTCTGCACTTTGGGCACATGCACTGTGAGTCATGTCTAGTTAAACATTTTGGCGACTTGGTTGTATTCGTTTATTTGAGCATGTTTCTGTTTGGGCTGTTTCTTTCACACCAGTTGAGGTGATATTTAGGAGCAATTTCAACCGACTGTATTGTCATATTTCAACCAAATTGCATGGGAGAAGACAACAGACATATCATATGCACCCTAGTCATCCACTGAGCTTCTTGGTGGAGTGCAGCAAATCAGGAGATATGGACAGTCAAGGCATTAATTATTGATAGCAACTGCTGTCCCCACAGATTCTGTCATGCTTTGAAGATTTCTCTTAATGGGGTTAATTTCTGAAATGCTAATAACTGCTCATGGCCTGGATGGGTGCTCTCTTTGCTGGATAAAAAACTGGCTGGATGGTTGGGCCCAAAGGGTTGTGGTGAATGGAGTTGAGTCCAGTTGGTGGCCGGTCACAAGTGGTGCTCCCCAGGTCTCAGAACTGGGGCCAGTTCTGGTTAATGTCTTCATCAGTGATCTGGACGAGGGGATCGAATGAACCCTCAGTAAGTTTGCAGACACCAAGTTGGACAGGGGTGTTGATCTGCTTGAGGGCATAAAGGCTTTACAGGGGGAACTGGACAGGCTGGAACAATGGGCCAAGGCCATTTGTATGAGATTCAAGAAGAGTCAATGCCAGGTCCTGCACCTGGGTCACAACAACCTTGTGCAATGCTGCAGGTTTGGGAAGAGTGGCTGGGAAGCTGCCCAGCTGAAAAGAACCTGGGAGTGTTGGTGGACAGCCAGTGGAATATGAGCCAGCAGTGGGCCCAGGTGGCCAAGGCAGCCAATGGCATCCTGACTTGTATTGGAATTAGTCTGGCCAGCAGGGACAGGGAAGTGATCAAGTGATCGTTCCCCTGTACTCAGCACTGGTGAGGCCACACCTTGAATACTGTGTTCAGTTTTGGACCCCTCACTAAAAGACAGACACTGAGGTGCTGTAGCATGTCCAAAGAAGAGCAATGAAGCTGGTGAAGGGTCTAGAGCATAAGTTTTATGAGGAGTGGCTGAGGGAACTGGGGCTGTTTGGCCTGGAGGACAGGAGGCTGAGGGGAGACCTCATCACCCTCTACTGGAAAGGAATGTGGGTGTTGGTCTCTTCTCCCAAGTAACAAGTGATAGGACAAGAGGAAGCAGCCTCAAGTTGTGCTAGGGGACATTTAGATTGGATACTAGGAAAAAACTATTCACTGAAAGGGTTGTCAAGCACTGGAACGGGCTGCCCAGGGCAGTGGTTGAGTCACCATCTCTGGAGGTATTTAAAACACATGTAGATGTGGTGCTTAGAGACATGGTTTAGTGGTGGACTTGGCAATGCTAGGTGATGGTTGGACTCAATGATCCTAAAGGTCTTTTCCAACCTAAATGATTCTATGAATCTATGATTTTGATGGATACCATTTACTTATCTCATGCTTTTAAAAATGGCAAGCCAGCATATATTATTTGATGTGCTTAGCCATGTTGATAGTCACTCTGACAGTCAGCAGTGTGTCAGTGCTGCGTTATGCCAAGGTGCACAAATGCTGCAAGTGACAAATAACTCCAGTTTTGGCACTCCTCTGTAGGAGGAAGCTTGCATTAGTTTTGATATTCAGAATCTTTTGACACTTGAGCCAGTGTTTAAGTCTATCTTCCAATTTGTAAAGATGACTTTAAACCTGCAGACAACCAATGATGTAAAGGCTAATCTGACTAACTAGCTAGTCTTTTCATATTGTAAGATCAAATAAGTAGAAAGATTCTAATGTTTATATTCCTATGCCTATAACTGAGAAAAGTTTAAAAATACAGATCTTTTGAGTCATCAGATTTATGAGTGCATGCAGTGGTCAATCTGAAGTTAACTTGAATAAACCGGAATAAAGTTCATCCCTCAGATGTGTGCCAGCTGACGGAACATGCGCAGCCTCTGAATATGTAGAGTTACAGACTTTTATTATTAGTTTCAAAGATAAATTGATAGGTTTATGCAAACATTATCATATCATACTTTAAGAGTGGTTTTTTTAATAGATAAAGATTAATGGATACCCTTTTTCAGTATCTTGCATTCTAGCATGTGACCAAGAAAATAATGAAATGGGTCTGAAACAACAATAGGAAATAGCCATACAATGGAGAAAGAAAAATCAGAGTAAAAAGAAGGCTAGAACAGAAAAGATTTTGAATGAAAGGATGCCATTTCAGTGAGCTTTATTTGACAGTCTGAGGGAGCTTTAATAAAGTGATTTGCTGGGCCATCTTAAATTAATATGTGTTGGTACCACAATAGCATGGCAAAACCAGAGCACTGTAATAGACAGATCAGTCCCTTTGCTGCAATTGCCATAGCAAAGCAACAATTAAGCAGATTTGAGATAGAATTTATAATCAATCAGCTCCTTAAATAGAATCATTTTACCTGAAATCACTGTTCAGCATCATACCATATTTTCTACAGTACAGAAATGGAATAATGAAGAAAAAAAGTACTTCAGGCAAAGGAGATCAACATAAAAATAGGCATTTTGGTAGAAATTATTAGATGTTCACTGCCCACTTGAATGTTAAACCAGGTTGTAAATCATTGTAAAATACGGGTACTTCTCATCCTTCCTCTTAAAATACTGATACAGAGAGAATGGGGTTGAAGAGAGACTATAACCATAGGAAACAATCTCGGGGATAGTTTATACAACAAAAAAACCCTTTCTTTGTCATTGAATGTTAAAAATAATGTGCTTTTCACTGTATCAAATTAAGTGAATTTGTCTTTCAACAGTTTAAGCTGCAATGAAGTCTTCTGAAATTATTAACCCTTTGACCTTGATGATGCTTCTCTATCAGTACACTGAGCAAAAGGGTAGAAAAGCAGTAACTATTTTTTAAAGTGAAGCTTTCAGGTCAGAGAGCCATGACGACAGATTGCAACAAAGTCATTGCAAAATCTCCTCTTCTTACTGTTCCAATTTTCCCTCTTTTATAACTTTAACATTGTTCCTGACAGCTTAATTCTCCATTTCCCTTTCCCCAATCTTTCTCTTAATAGGTTTGACTGGTTCGTTTTTATTTCTCATCCTCCTTTTTACATGATTCCTATTCAATGTAGTTCATTACTTCCTGCATTTCTTTCTAGTATTCTGTCTCTTTTCCAGTAATGCTTCATTCTTTTGCAAGAACAAATTTAAAGCAGTATTAGGTTCAAGGATTCTAATACTCCAGTAATTTTCTCCCTCTGTTTTTACTTGGTGTGTGTCATGTTCTAGATCATGACTTGGTTTGCACAACCTTTAGGTCTAACCAGCTACCTTCTAACCAACAGGTTCATCTCACTGTACTATTTGTTTTTTCTTTAAAAGTTTTCTGAGCAAGTGAAGCTTAGGAAGTTTAGAAAGGATTGTTTGAAAATAATTTCCTATTTGGTATGCAATTTATTGTCCTCTGAGGGTATATATTCTCTGCTAAGTTACCATTCATCTGCTTTGCTCTGGACTGACTGAGACTGCTGATACTAACTCTAAAATAAAGCTGTCAACACTTTGTCAGAGCATGAAGAGTAAAGCACGCATGTAAAAATCAATGTGCAGAATGAGGGGATGAACCTTGGCATGCCTGGGAAGGGGAATCCCACAATACCTTCCACAGAAGTGGATACTTGAGATTCCTCTTTAGCTGGAAAAGTAACAAGTTATTAGTTTTTATGTTTATTTAGAAGCCAGTAATTACAAAACAAATCTCTTGTAGACAATCGCTTTAGATAATAAGTTTCATAGGATGTTTGTTGGTTTTTTTTTTCCCCCTTTTTTCTGTGGCTGCAGGAGAAAGATGTGATGATTACACCTATGCCGTTTGCAAGGCCACAGGACTTAGGCCCATCCATTGCTATTGTAGCAAAGGTAAACCAAATTCAGGATCATCTGCTAAAGAAACATGATATTGAGCTGTACATGCATCTGAACCGACTGGAAATTGCTCCACAGATTTATGGACTGTAAGTGTTTGCAGAACATTATTTAATTCAATTCCTTATGACATTTTTTTTCTTAAATTTAGGATTAGAGAAATGGGGCTAAAAAGAAGTGCTTCTTATCTCTTGGAACTTACTCAATTGGCAGCATTACAGTAAATGACACCCTGTTGTTGTATTTGTGATAGTGGCATTCCCAGTGCAGATAAAGTCCATTCAACTACATATTAGAGAACTTGACGAAGACTCCCAGTGCAGTGATGAAATACATACTGAATCAAGTACATATTCTACTGTGGTTTTCCTATAAGAAAAGATGGGATAATAGGACATAAAGAAGGGGAAAAGGGTAAGATTGCTAACATTGTATGGTTTATTTACCTAATTTTATCACCATTTTGGTATCAGTGAACTTTCCCCTGTTGCAATAATGGGATTTTGGATAGCAGTAATACAGGTGTGGTGGGGCATGTTAAAAGTTACGGTATGGAGATAATAAAGCGTCTGTATATGGAATCGGCCCAGGTAGTTCTTTTTCCATTAAGCTGGCTCAGATCCATTCAGCTGGTTGTGTATTGTGTGCCCCTGTTCCACAGGGAGCTTATTGGGCCAGGTGCAACTTTGGATGTGGCATTGTCCACATGTTTGCACAGGGTTGCATCTAAAGCGGTTATGGCTGTTATAGTCAGTCTTGGTCAATACAGAGCATGCAACTTGGATGAACCATTAGTAACTGTGAATTGACTGTGGTTTTGAGGAAGAATTCTGCCTTCATCATCTGGAATTCTAGACAATTGATTAATTTCAATTATTCCTTAAAGAGTTGGCAAACTATGTGTGCAGCTGCAGAGAGAGCAAGATGAGACTTTTAATTTATTTTTTTTTACTTTTTGCAATGATTTAAAATAAGTTTGGCTTTGCCTTAAATGAAAAAAAAAAAAAAAAGTTTCGTTTATAGGTGTGAATTTCCAAATGCAATTGTGAATTACATATAATGACTCAATAGAAAATGTAGAAAGGGAGGCAGAAGTTGACTGTGTAAATGTCAGGCCATAACTTCAATACTTAACATTAAAGTCTAATTTGATGTTAGCGTAAAATGGAAAAATGCTGAGACATAGTATACCCTCAAGAAGAGTTGAACTAAGACTAGGTAGCAGTCCCAAATTTACAAATAACATATATTAGGAAGATAAATGTAATTCTACTATTTAAATAGTTTTGATAGGAATGGGTTACAGTGAGAGGAATATTAAGCCAAGTAAACTCAAGGTATTAAAAGTATGAAGAGGACAGATTGTCCTATTACAGTATTTTTTGCGTAGTATAGAGTTATGTATTTTCTTAATATCTTAACTGGTCTGGAAGAGAAAGCAAGCATCCTTAATAAACTTCAGGGATAGTAATGAATAAGTAGGCAGTATAAATATCAAGGAAAACAAAAAGACAGAGTTTCTTCTTTATGAAGGCTTATGAAAACACAGAAAATAAGATAAACCTCAGAAATTTGCAAACAGATATTCTGGGGCAAAACTAATTTGTACTGTAGGTATTTGCTTCAGTATAAGATTTTGCCTTTCAGGAAGAGAAATAATTGAACAAAAAAATTAGACTTTAGCTCAAAACATAACATTATAATAACAGAAGAACAGTGCAGTCTGGTGTGGCATAAATAGAACTGAATCTGAATAAAGAAATTTACAGTTAAGGGAATGAATTATGAGAGAGAGCTTCAGGCTGACTATCAGGAAAACGTTACTAACAGGGAGCTGTTAGACTGTAAAATAATATATCAAAATTAACAAAGGAAAAACCATCAGAATATTTTAAAGACAGGCTTTGAAAAGCTCTCGGAAATGGATAATATCGTAGAAAATGAGTCTGCATTGGCAGAAGAGGAAAGTAGGTTGCCTGTGAGGTCATATCCTTCTCTGATTTCTGATTTAATACAGAGGACAGGAGAAAAAGAAAGGGAAAGGAACATGACTGTGTTGTATTATTCTCACCTTTAATGATGTGTGAACTCTTCAGAATAGTTATTTCCCGTAGCGAGCAAGCTGACAGTCTCAGATGCTGGCTCTTTTTCTGTATTTAACATTTCTTGAACTAGAAACAGCATTTCTTAAACAGAATATGTTATTAATAATTGCTAAACCTAACCCAAGTACAGAATTCATGTGAGCTTTTTATTGAAGTTTATTGTTTTGCTGAAGTTTGTTGGGTTTGCCAACAATAAATATTCATCTGTCAGCCTTGGTATCACTCAAAAATATACAAGTGATAGAAAGAAAACTGGGAACGTCCATCAAAAGATAGTACGGTATTCCTGGGGAAAAGTATCAGTACAAAGAGCTTGTATTTGGTGGCAGTCTCCCCTTACCCCAAACAAGTTTTACAGTTTTCTTTTTTAAAAATACAGTATTTTATATTTTGCATCCTTCCATAACCTTCTGAGGCAAGGCAGAAACAATTCTTACTTACTGTTTGTATTTTCATACAGTTGATTTCAATCTTTGATGCTTATAGTCAAAGGACAAATAGTTCTTTCATTTTTCAAGCACTTCTGCTGGGAGGTCAGGTACCATAGCCTGTTGTACATTTCCATGTTCAGAAACTGTCCTTTAAAATAAAATGTGGTTACACACTTCTTGAAATTATGCTTACCTGCTTACAAGACATTTCAGAGTTGTAAGTAATTTGAAAGGCATTTCAGTACATGTGGTATGACACATTAATTTTGGTGGCTGTCCAGCAGTGCAGAGGTTGTATGCTGGTTTTGTAAAAGAGTATACTCATTATAAAGTTTATCATATCAATGTGAAAAGGCTCTATTTGTTCTTCAATAGTTAGTCCTCTGCAAACAGGTATGTTACTAGCCTCAGCCTGGCATGCCAGGCTGCATGCTGGGAGGGGCTTCAAGTTTAGAATAAATCTGGGTAGTTTACATTTTGTGAAGTTTTAGCTCAAGGGAGTGGATTTCTTTATCTTCTGGAGGGCATCAGTGAACAGACTGCATTACCTGTCTGTCTCAGTTCATTGCTGATCAGAAAGATAACCCTGTTAGGTATAGCAAGGTATACTAGGGTCCTGGATCTATACCATACTTGCCCTCTCTGATCTTCACGTTGGTGTCATATACAGTAGCAGCCTTAGCACAGGAATTTCTGTAGCTGGATATTTTGCGAGACCGCACATTCATTCACTTGCAGTCAGCCGCCACGTATCCCTGTGATAATTATTCAGCTGCTATTAATATCAGCCAAAATGGAACCAGCAAAACAGAGATAAAGGCTTTGTGTGTTATCATTCTTCAGTCTTCTTTATTTGCCATGTCTCTAGCTTGTTTTTAGACCCTAAGATAATGTTTTGCAGAATAACATTGTTTCACATTCCTGGTAGCACTGCAAATTGTGTACAGTCCTAAGAATAATTATATAATAATTATCTATATCATATCTGATTTTGTACTTTGTAAAGTAAAGCACAAGAATGGTTTGAAAATAAAATGGAATTGATTACGTGAACAGTTCAGTGGCATGCTTCCTGATAATAAACTTTTCTCTAAATAAAATCAAAAATATGCTAAGATTTAACAAAAAGATTGAATACTCTGAAGGACTGACAGATTGAATATTCAGTATAATTGTAAAATTAGATGAGTTAACAGTGATTAATGTCTCAGATTAAATGGTATTTTAGTGTTAATTTCTGTGACCCTTACTTCTAATTCATGTTAAAGTACAAAATAATTATTGCAAAATTTCTGCAGTTTCTGCAGTGGCCAGTGTTTGCAGTGGCAAATTAAGCAGGTTGTGCACTCTGCTTGAGAAAGGACAAGGTTTGAGGAAAGTCTTCATATATCTGTATTTTAGGACATTTTCTTCCATTTATAGTAATTTGTAGTAGAGTATTTATTTTACATTTCATTGAAAAGATGAATCAATTGGAAAAGTCCCACATAATGTCATTATTACTACTTTATTTTATGTACTGAGGGTTTCAAAGTGAATTATATTGCATCAAATGAAATTCTCATAGAACTGCATGCAATAAGTACAGCCAGATCATGTAAGTATATATGATATGGTTTTATAGAAATGCACACAAAGATAATGACAAGGCATAAGTGTAAAAAGCTTTATTTAAGAACAAAAATAAACTGTTAGCATAAACTCACTAGCTTCTGCATCATAACATGGAGGGCAATATTATATTGGTTAAGCAAATTCTTTCTAAGCACATATCCAACAAAGCACATGCAGAAGTGAGTGTAAATATTTCATGATGGCTTAATCTCAGTACAAAAAGGCCTTCTTAGAACATTCAGTGCCGATGACGTTGCCTCCTGCTGCCACTCTGCTTTATGATGATCAATCAGATAGACATACTGCCTACTGCGGTTCAAGATGCAGTTTCAGCCCTTTAGGCTGATACCACAATTATAATTCAAGAAGAAGCCCATCTTATGAAGCAAAGAAAAAAAAAAATAAGAGAAGGATGCAAACTAAGTTAGGGGGTAACTAAGCACAAGTGTAGATTTGAAGATAGCATTAGAAAGGTTATGTTATAGCAAAGTCAACAGCAGATGTGCTGCTCTACTATTACTATTCTTAGTTGCTTTGCTGTGAGCACTGCTGTGGGGCATCCACCTGTTTTAGTTTCTCTCCCATGCCATTATGGTACCAGGCAGTATTCTTTTCCATAACCATACTGGTCTCTGGAGGGAGAATTCAAAGGATTTTACCTGTGCAGTAGAGGAACATAAATCATACTCATCGTATCCAGGGAAAAAATAACAAATTCCCACTAGTCATCAGAATAAGAAATCTTCATGATCTCCAGAAAAAGTAGATCAAAGATCAAGCTTGCTAAACAGAACTTTACAGATCATCCAGGATGCCTGGGTTTATTTTGAATTCTCATACTTCACCAAAAAATTGAGATAGATATTATATGGCATGCTCCAAACCAATTACAGTTCCTCTGTAGTTTTTAATCCAGTGTCATCGATTAATTGGGCAGCA